CGCAGGGCCTCCACGAAGGCAGAGCCCAGGACGGTGAGGGAGAAGAGCTGCTGCTTCCGAGAAGGGATCCTGGCATAACCGATGAGGCTCCCAAACACAGTCCCAACTGTGGCAGCCCCGGCCCCGATGAACTTGACGGCTGTGTCCTTTGAGATGGAGCTGGTTTGGAAGGTATGACTGGGGATGAATGAGGTCCGGGAATGTGGGCTGTCAAGCTGCTGAAGCTCCTCTCTCAGTGTCTGGGCTGTTTTGCAGCAGCACAGACCGGGGTCTGCTCAGCAGCTGGGGAGCTCCCACCCAGGGAGGGGTGGAGATGAATTTGGCGCCGGCATACGTTTTCAGGGGCTGAGGGGCAATGGCTGGCAAGTGGCTCCTAGTGCAGAGAAAGCTCCATGACCTTTCCATTTCAATGTTTTCACCGACTTGAAGCCTCACGTGAAGAAGAATGTATCATCAGTTCGGGAGGAAGGCTGTTTAACCACCTGAGACCTGCAGGTAACACAACCTTGCTGGCTGAAAGTGAGGAGGACTTGAGACGTTGATGACGATCCAGGACTACACCCTTCAGTGTGAATGACACCTCAACATTAAAAAAAAAAAAGATTTAACCGCACAACTGGACCAATAAGCAACACGGTAGCTATTGAAATAAAGAAAAGACCGATGTTCTCAAGGAGTTCATTTTGTTAGGATCCATAATCCATGCACACGGCTGTAGCATCAAAAAATGAGCACAGGTCACACTGAGCACATGTGTTACAGAGACATCTGGCAAGTGTCAAAGACGTTGCCTGGAGGGCTAAGGTGTGCCTGACCCAACCTAGATATTCTCCTTCGTCTCCGAGACACGTGAACATTGGACACGGAATTAAGAGGGCTGAAGAAAACTGGAGGCCTTGTCTGGATTACGGCGTGGGTGGAGAACCCCGAAGACGGCGTGATCTGCCAGGAGCGGGAACACGTCTCTCATGAGAAGCACAACTAGAGCGTCCCTGAAAGTGAGGGTGGTGACGTCACCTCATCTGCTTTGGACCTGCTCCCAGGAGGGACAGCACAGCCTCAGTAAAGTGGGTGTCGGCCAAACAGGAAACCCTCACTGAGGTGGACAGGCACAGTGCTGCAGCGATTGTGAGGATCGTTCAGGACAGGGCCGTCTTGTGTTGTACAGAGGTCTCTGAATTGGAACAAACGTGACACAGAGAAAAACCAGAAAACCACGGCTGAAGTAAGGAGGCGAGAGTTAGCAGAGCTTCAGAAGTCCTTGTCTGGAGTTTAATTTTTACTGAGAAAGGGTACGGACGCCTGGAGGCTTTTAAGCAGAGAGTAGTATAGTGTTGTCTTTTGAAACGTCATTCGTGTGTGGGTGTGAAAAGATGGAGACCAGTTGGTCAAGTGAGATAATGGGCACTAAGATAGCATGATGGCAAGCGGAGGGAGAAAGGATGGCAGGATTCCAGAGATTTGGGAAATCCTGGCAGGGGATTTGAAATAGGCCGTGATGAGGGAGAAGGAAGTGTCAGGAGTGAGTTCTAAGCTTGCGCACCAACCGAATGCCACCATTCCATGAGCTATTGAGCCCTGGAAGAGGAGGAGGAGTTTGAGCGTGGGGTGGGGTGTGCATATGGATACCTGAAGTTTGAGGCACCCTTGAACCATCCTGTGGGCGGGGGTGGGATGGGGGAGGGGCGGATGCCTTGTGGGCTCGTGTTTGTTCTCAGAAGAGAATTAGACAATCTTAATTTGTGAGTCACTGGCATGTAGATAATTGAAGCTGTGGGCCAGGATGAAGCCATTTAGAGTATGGTGGATAGCTTTAAAAACAGTACTAATGTCATTGCCTGGACCCCATCCCAGACCAATGACCACAGCTTCCACCCCTGTCCCCTGCCTCCATCAGGCTCAGATGGGGTCAAATGAGCTCCGACCCATGCCTGGTGTTTGAAAAGCTCTGGGTTTGCATGTTGGGAGACTTTCAGCTTGCCTACCTTTCCTTATTTTCCCATTCCTCCACCACATCCCATCCCACCCTCAAAGCCCTTCAGGTATCTGCCCATCACCAGTGACTGAAGTCCTACGCAGCTCCTCCAATCTAGCCTTCAAATTTATTGCAGTTTGCTTTCAAACAACGCCCTGCAATTCTCTGCCCTGCTCCCTTGCACAAGCTCTGCCTTCCCTGTGGTCTTGCTCTTAGCCTCACCCGTTTTCTACTCACAGGCTCTTCTCCCACTCCGCAGGGCCCAGATCAAATCCCATCTCCTCAGCCCCCACTAAGATCTAGAACACTCCCCTCCCGCTAGAGAATTGCATTCCATAATGCTAGGCACCTGCCATTCTGCACGCAGCAGTGCTCACCCCTGTTTCAGAATGTTTTCACTGAGACTCACTCTTGCGATTCTCATGGGATGTCTTCCCACAATCCTCAGACCTTAAAGCACCCCCAGAAACAAGTATGGGGCTAACTGGAGAATATCTAAGAAGATGAAAATATCAGGTTGGATGGGAATGCAGGAGTTTGGAGGATGGCGCTCACTATACCTTTTCAGTGGGCAAGCAGTTCCCCCTGGACCCTTAGCAACACTGTAGCCTTTTCCCCAGAGTCTGAATGAGAGCTGAACATGTGAATGACAAATCTCAGAATCCCAAAGACCTGGACTTCCTGTGTCCCCCCACCACATCCTCTTCCTCAAAGAGTCTGTAGGAACCATCTGATATGGGGCAAATGACACTGATGACGTGGGTCCTGCCTGATCCTGTATGGGAGAGACAGCCCTAAAAGCCACTTCCCCTTGTACTCGCAGATGGATTTCCAGGCCACCGGGAAGTCTTACCTGCATTAAGATGCTGACAAGAGTGGGTGGAGAGGGGAAAGAGATGATGAGAGAATTAAGCGATTTGCATAATCTGGTCTCATTTGACCTCTTGCATTTAGCTTGCCTCTCCTGAGGAACAGTTGGCTGTCCTGTAGGGAAGGAGAGGACTCCAGTGACCCGCAGCCGCGGAACTTCACATCTTCCTGGCAGGCATGACAGATTGGGTTGAACCTGAGAGCCTCTCCGACAGGCTCTATTGCAAACACTGATCGTTCACTAAACGGCAGACTTTGTGGTCAAGAGCCGAGATTTTGTGTATATTACAGACAGTCATGAGCTCGAATTCTGTGTGAATGAGTGTAGTTTTTGAAGTTTGATTGGCATAGAATTCACATGTACAATTCAATAGTCCGTCATATTAAGAAGTGTTGTGCAATCATCACCACAATCAATTTTAGAACATTTTCTTCTTTCTCATACTCATTAGCTCCCCAGTTCCCCCCTGTCATATTCCCATGAAACCAGTAATCCAGTTACTGTCTTTATAGATTTACCTACCCTGGATTTCATATACAGAAAAACATACCCCTAACCCCCTCCCAAAGAAACCAACACCAATAACAAAGTAAAACAGAAAAACATCAATTGGAAAGAAAGCAGAAAAATATTAAAAGGGAAATCTGGTGATAAGGGTTGTGTGAGTGAGTTTTTAATCAGCTCGAACAGATAATTTTGACTAATAATAACTGATTTTCTTTCTAGCAACACGTCATGTTCCACATCCCCATCAACCTTGATATTACTGGCCTTTATTTTAGCAATTCATGTGTGTGTTTGCACTCGCCCATTAAGTAGTAATCTGATTGTTTTACTTTGCATTTCCATGATGATTAGTGAGGCTAAACAACTTGGCATGTATTTATTGTTTATTTGGATATCTTATGTTGTAAAATGCCTGTTTAAATCTCTTGCTACTATTTCTATTTGGTCTTTTTTTCTTATGATTTGTAGAAATTATTTTCATATTTGTATGTGTTACAAATGTCTTCTGTGATTTGTTTTTTCACTCTTTTAATGATCTCTTTGGTGAATGGGTTGTTCTTAATTTTAAAGTAATGTAATTTATCAGTCTTTTATAGTTATTCATTTTAAATAATCCATTGGCAATGGAAAAACCTTTAAATTACTTTTCACATTTAGATCTACAGACGATCTCGAATTGACATTTATGTATGATGTGAAGTAAAGTCAAGATTGTGATTCCCCCCACCCCTTGACCCCAAGTGGATATCCATTTGGCAGAGAGCCATTTTTGCAATTTTAACTTTTCCTTGTGATTTGGGTGAAAGCTTACACAGCACATTCATTTCCGACTCATATACGTCTTGTATATTAATTGCAACCCCCCATAGTGTAACAGCGCTCATTTCACACAGAACCATTTATTGAAAACATCCTTTCCTACTGAGCTGCAGAGCCAATTCTGTCAGAAATTAAAGGTCCAGACATGTGTGGTCTGTGTCTGGGTTTTCTTTTTTGTTCTATTGGCCTCTGCGAGTCCCAACTCCACTCTGATGTTAATGTGTGTCCTCTTGGCTAGGCCCTGATTCTCAGGAGTGTATAATTATCTTCCATTGGCGATCTGATGTAAGGGGTGTTTTCTGGTGTGTGGACATCCAGGCAGAGCTATTGAAATAGACAAGCTCATCCCACCACGTGTGAGCAGAACTGTCCTGAGAGCTCTTTTCCTGAGGGCCTTTTCTTAACATCGCCATGGACTGCAGGTTGGTGAGCGCCCTGAGAGCAAGTCTTGTTGAAATGACCCCTCTCTCCTCATCCAGAGATGCTGTCAGTCTGTCTCTCAGGGACAGGAGTGCTCATTTCCCACCCCAGCTAGGATGGCAAGCTAGAGACAAAATCCAGGAATGGGGTCGTAAAAAAAGGCACATGAAACTTTACCTAAATATGCTTTTGTTTTACTTTTGTCAATACCATTTGGTGATCTGTGTATTTTCAATTGCTTTTTCTTCTGCTTTCTGTATTCTACCCTCTCTGAATAATATAAAAGAGGTTTGGCCATGGAAGAGGGGCTGCAGTGTGGAGAGGAGTTCCCTTTGAATATCCCACTGCAGCCTGGGCTCACCTGATAGGAAAAATAAAGACTAAAATAATTTTAATCGGGCATTGTAGTGGTCTTCTTTTATCTGAACCCGCAACACTATCATGTTCTGTCTCCATCCTGCATTGGATTTATCATCCTCGAATCTCCAGCTCTTGGGATGTGAGTCAGCATATCACGCATTCTTCAGATTTTTGGATCCACCAACTCCTACGGTCTCATGAGCCATCAGGCTGATCTGCTGATTTGGGGGCTGTTGGCTCCTGCAACCATGTGAACCAGGAGAAGCCTCCAGTCTACACCTGACCCATGGATTTAGGACTTACCAGCCTCTACAACTGCATGAGCCATTTGAAATAAATCTCTCTCTAGATATTTTAAATACATATTTATCTAGTTTTGCTCCTCTAAAGAATCCAGACAAAAACAACTAAAGTGTCTTAATCATTGTAACTAACTTCAAAGTATCTTGATCTCTCATAGGATACACTTTCTAATTATGTTACTTCTTCAAGATTGTTTTGGCTTTTCTAGGGCCTCATCATTTCGTTTAAATTTTAGAATTAGCAAAAAAAAATTTTTTTTAGAATTGGCTTGCTAGTTTATAACAAAAAATGTGCTGGAGTTTTAATTCCTGGAATCTATAAATCCACATGGGAAGAATTGTTATCTTTATAATGTTGACCCTGACCATCCATGAACATAGTGTTTTCCCCCACTAAATTGAATGTTTTAATTTTTCTGTGAAGAGAGCTTATACATCTTTTATAACATTTATTCATAGGTAGTTGGTGTAATTTAAATGGTATGTTTAAAATTTTTCAATCTTTAATAAAAATTTTAAGGGCTACCATTTATATACTTTATTTGTATGTAGAGATGCAATTTACTTTTAAAATATCGACCTTAAATGTTGTGGGTTCAAATAAGCAACTGACACTATAATGTCTTGATCACTTGGAAGCGTCTATTCAGTGAGCTGGGCTACGGTGAAACTAAAGACGTTTCCCTTTATAGCAGCCATGAGTGGACTTCTCAGTCCATCTTTAAGGCCAAAAAATCATGTATCACCTGTCTAGGGCTCAAGCAAGCATGAACAGAGCAGAAAGCAAAATTACTGGATTAATTGTAAGAAGAGTAAGCATGCGTTACATGGTACATTCCTTATCATAAAAGAAACTACTCAAATTGACTATAACATCATGGTCACCATGACAAGATGATCAGAAAAGAAACAATACCAAAATGGATTGTCACGTCCTGGTTCTCATGACAAGATTAACTGCACCATTCAGATGACAACATCGAAGGGAACAATATTGAAAAATAATCAAACGATATATTGAAGAATAGTCAAAACCAGGCGTAGTGTCCTGAACCTGGAAACATGGGAGCACATTCTAAGATTAATCACCGGCAGAGACTTTCCCGTCAGGGGAGGGAGGACGGGCAGGTCCACTAGCAGTCAGCTTTCCAAGATGGGAGGGAGGACGGGCAGGTCCACTAGCAGTCAGCTTTCCGAGATGGGAGGGAGGACCGGCAGTCACTTAGCAGCTTGGATTTTCTTTTGCTCGTCTGCCTCAGTTACTGAATGACCTTTCTAAATTATCTGACTGATTGTGATCACTTTATTTGTAGATTCTTTTGGATTTTCTACATGCAATTATAGACAAATAATGGTGGTTTTTATTTCTTCCTTTTCAATCCTTATGCTTTTTTTCTCCCCTAAAAGGCCATTTGAAGTTTGAGCCAAGTCCTCAGGACTGCACTCTCTTCCTGCCACCAGGCGGCCTGCCCTCGCCGTGCTCAGCTCTCTCACCACCACTCGCTCGGACAGGATGAACGCCCTGGATGGTGTCCCCTTCAAAGTAGCCAAGGGACTTGTGGTGGACACAGAGCGCTGTCCCGGGCCTGAGCTCAGCATCACAGCTTGCAGAGAGGTTCTGTTGGGCTCCATGGTAAATCCATCTCTCTGCCACGTTGTCTCCTAGCTCCTGGGTCTGGGTGAGGCCGAGTCCTTCTCCTGGGATGTTTCCTGCTCTGGTATATATTCTGGAGAGCCAGGTGATGGGATTATTCAGGAGGGCTTGTTTGAGACTTAGAGGAATTAGGAGGTAGCCTGTGTGAAGTTGATTACAAGTCCTCACAAGCACATGTCAATTATTCTCTTCCTGACTAGCCTATCACTGAACTTCCTCCATTAGAGGAATCACTCCTTGGGGCTAAGACACTATTTCCAGAACCCTTTGTTAAAATTCAGACAGTTAGTAGGAGATTCTTAGAAGGCATTACTGTCCCAAAGACCTAAGCAGACCTAGAGCAGTCTTCCCTGGCTGTGCCCTTAGAGCTCCCCAGGTTTGTGGCCCTCACAGTGGGATATGCCCGCCCTCCCACCTTTGCCTCACAACCCCTAAGCCCATGTGGTCTAATCACAGTGACCTCAGGAGAAAGAAATCCTCGTGGTACAGTGGGTTAATACTGAGCTGTTAACTGAAAGTCAGTGGTTCTCCTCCCCCCAGAGAATTTACTTCAGAGGACAGCACTGAAGCTGCAGCTCAGGGAGAGAGACATGTCTGATCAGAGCACACAGGAGCAAATGAAGGGAGAAGAGAGAGTGGAGCACATCCTGGCCCACCAAGCCTTGAGGACCATATCTCTGCTCAGAGCAGCCAATGAACAGAAGGGACCATATGGCCGGCCCCACTATGAGACAGGACATCCCTCACTGACCCATAGCCTTACAGGGGACAACACTGGAGGCACAGTG